GGGCCCTTTGTCTGGCTTTTGTTGATAGTCAAGAAGGAAAACGTTGTGAACTTAGACAAGGAATGAACCCCCTTGTGACGATTACAGTGAAGCATAAATTCATTCATAGATCGGTGCTCTAGCATGTTCAAATGACGGCATGATTATGGGGCTGGAGAATAAAGGCAGACAATTGTTGACTGGTGGCCTGGCACCACTAATCACATGCTAAACAGTAATAGTAATAAATCTTCCTTTAGGCTGGGCTAATTTCGCCAGCATGTATTTATGAGGCAATCTCAGTCGGAACTGGTTCAGTCATGGCCGGCACAGTGAAAGCAGGACAGACAGGTTTGTGAAATGAGGGTGCACCAGAGAAAAATTAGGGGTGAAGCCCTGAGTGAGAGACTTGGAAGAGGCTCAGGGAGCCTTCTGAGGAGCTTGATACATGACATTGGATTATTGCCAGGACTGTGGACAGCAGCACACATTTAACGTAGCATGGTTGGCCACCATTTTTGAGCCGGGCACTGTTGTTTCTGACTCTGCTAATCAGGAGAGTTGGTTGCTATGCAACATGCACGCTGCCCTTGTTTTCTAAGGAGACTTAAGTTTCTAGTTATCATTCTGGTATACCCACATTTTATGAATTCAAGTTTGTCCTGGTTTCACTTTGTTGGCTGTGACTGAACTGGAAAGACAGGTTCAAAGGCCTATGCAATTTCCGTTTGTCAGTAGCTGAGCTTGGTGCCGGTGATCAAATGAAGAAAAGATGAGTTGCTGACCTCAAGGGTGGGGGGAATTATCTGGTAGCCCTTCATTCATTCACTCATTCACCAGTTCCCTATTAAGCACCTACTGTGTACCAAGCATTATTTTAGATGCTATTGAAATAGTGGTCCACATCCTAATGGAGAAAGGAGCTCTCATGGTGCAGTGGGTAAGGCATTTGGCTGCTAACCAAAAGATGGGTGGTTTGAACCCACCAACCACTCTGCAGGAGAAAGATGACGCACTCAGCTTTCATAAGGATTTACAGCTTTGGAAACCTATGGGGCAGTTCTACTCTGTCCTATAGGGTCTCTGTTGGTCAGAATCAACTTGACGGCAGTGGGTGTGGTTTGGTTTTAAGTATTCTAACGGACAAGGAGCCCTGGTGGCACAACAGTTAAGTGCTCAGCTGCTAACTGAAAGGTTGGTAGTTTGAACCCTCCCAGTGCCTCCAAGGGAGGAAAACCTGGCCATCTGCTCCTGTCAAGATTACAGCCAAGAAAACCCTATAAGGTGGTTCCACTATGTCACAAGGGGTTGCCATCAGGGAGAATCGATTTGACAGAACCCAACAATCACACAGCACCCTAATGGGTGTCTCTGGATGGTAAAACCAAGCATCAGATCATTACAACAAGAACACTGCAAGTGAGCCAGGAATTGCTGACAGTAGTTGAACACTGGGCATGTGCCAGGCATGGGTAGGTGACCATTTTACTGCACAGTTAGCCAGTAACCCTGCAAACACAACTGTCCAGTAAAACGGCTTCATCTGAGTCCTAGATGGCTTTCCACATAGACATTTGGGCCAGTTAATTGGAAGGAAGGGCTCCTTTTTTTTTTTTTTTTTTTAATGTTGGCTGTTGGTTTTGCATATATGCCCTTTATTATTGAGAAATTTCCCTTCTATTCCTATTTTACTGGGGGTTTTATCAGGAATGGGTGTGGGATTTTATCAAATGCCTTTTCTGCATCAGTTGATATGATCACATGGTTCTTTTCATTTGTTTTATTTGTGTGGTGGATGACGTTGATTGTTTTTCTAATGTTGAACCATCCTTGCATACCTGGTATAAATCCCACTTGGTCATGGTGTATTATTATTATTATTGCTATGGTGTTGGATTCTGTTGGCTAGGATTTTGTTGAAGATTTTTGCATGTATACTCATGACGGATATTGGTCCATAGTTTTCCTTTTGAGTGGTATCTTTACTTGGTTTTGGTATCTGGGTTATGATTGCTTCATAGAATGAATTTGGCAGAATTCCATCATTTTCTATGTTCTGGAAGAGTTTAAGTAGGATTGGCGTCAGTTCTTCTCTGGACATTTGATGGAATTCTCCAGTGAAGCTGCCTGGGCCAAGACTTTCTTTTGCTGGGAATTTTTTTTTTCTTTTTAAATGACCTGCTCAGTTTCTTACGTTATGGGTCTGTTCATGTCTGTTCATGTTTTCTGCCTAGTCTGTGTTACTTTAGGTAGGTCTTGTGTTTCTAGAAATCTGTCCATCTCTTGTAGATTTTCAAATTTGTTGGAGTAGAGTTCTTCATAGTATTATCTTTTTTTATTTCAGTTGGTTCTGCTGTGATGTCGCCCATTTCATTTATTATTTGTGTCATATGCATCTTCTCTTTCTTTTCCTTTGTTAAACTTGCCAGTGTTCACTTTTGTTAATCTTTTCAAAGAACCAGTTTCTAGCCTTGTTGATTGTTTTCTGCTTGATTTACTTCTGCTCTGGTCTTTGTTATTCTCTTCCTTCAGGTTTCTTTTGTTGCTCTTTTTCTAATTGTTGGAGTTGTTGAGTTAAGGTGTTGGTTTTGATTCTTTCTTCTTTTTGATGTATGCGTTTATTGCTATCAAATGTCCCCTGGGTACTGCTTTCACTGTGTCCCAAAGATTTTAGTATCTTGTGTTTTCATTCTCGTTTGTTTCTAGGAATTTTTTTTTTTTTAATTTCACACTTTATTTCTTCTGTTACTCACTAGTTCTTGAGCTGCGTGTCTTTCAGTTTTCATGTATTTGACTTTTCCCCTTGGTTTTCCTATTACTGATATCTACTTTTATAGCATTGTGATCCGAGAAGATGGTTTGTAGTATCACCATGTTTTCAGATTTATTGAGGCTTGTTTCGTGGCCTAACATATGGTCAATTCTGTAGAATGGTCCATGTGCCTGGAAAAGAATGTGTATTGGGTTTTGTTGGCTGGAGTGTTCTGTCTGTGTCTGTGGGGTCAAGTTCTTTGTCTTTTTGAGACCTTCTGTATCTTTGCTGATATACTTTGTTTTTCTAGTTGCTCTGTCCTTCACTGAAAATGGTGGGTTAAAGTCTCCTACTACTATTGTAGAATTGTGTGTTTTCCCTTTCAATTCAGTTTCTGTTTGCTTTCTGTATTCTGGAGCTATTCCATTGGGTGTATAGATATTTATTATGATAATGTCCTCTTGATCCACTGACCCTTTTACCATCATACAATGCTCTTCTTTGTCCTTTATGCTGCTTTTCACCTCGAGGCATATTTTATCAGAAATTAATATTGCCACTCTTGCTCTGTTTTGGTGGCCATTAGCTTGACACATTTACAAAACTTCCATATGGAAAGTCAGCAGGATGTCTATATAGAACAGACTGTTCCAAACCTAGGGAGATAAGAGCTTACTACAGGGTAACCACAATGACAATGAACAATCCGTCTAACTCAAAGAAGATAGAACAAAATCACAAGGAATTAGTAAACATAAAACCAACAACAATGAAGAAAATTAAAAAAAAAAAAAACCCTCAATAAAAGAGTACTTGGAACAAAGAAACCAGCAAAAACACAACAAAAAAACAGGAAGGAATGACAGCATTCAATTCATACTTATCATTAATTACATTGATGTGAACAGACTAAACGCACCAGTCAAGAAAAAGCGAGTGGCAGACTGGCTAGAAGAAGATCCATCAATATGCTGCCTACAAGAGACCTGCCTTAGACACAAAGATAAAAACAAATTAAAAATCAAGGGATGGGAAGAGCTGCCTTTCAATTGAATTCCCAAGTAAACTTCCGTCGTGTAGAGGAAGCTGTAATTCTGCCCATTCAACTAAGCAAACAATTTTCACCTGCCCCAGAGCCTCAAAGCTATCCTGCAAATGCTCGCAAGAGTTACACATGCAAAATTTTCAAGTTGCAGAAGGATCAGGCCGGGATGTCTTTGAAAACCAACGAGGCACACTTTCTCCCTTGTCTCTTTAAAAGCAGCCTTCTCCATCTCCGTCAGAGACGTTGATTCCCTCACACTCTTTGAAATGCCTGCCCTCTCCCTCTGGCTTCCCCGCGGCCACGAAGCGGATGTAAGCCACCCATCACTTGCTAACTGATGCGTGGGTTCTGTGGCATCCCGGTGGTGCTGTAGGCCTGCTGATATGCGCCCAGCCTCCCAGATCTGCTTCTCTGAGCCAGGCAAAGACAGGGGTGCAGAGGAGTGACCCTGTGAAGCTGCTGGGTGGAGAAATCTAACAATGGGACCAGGTGCCCCTGGGAGCTCCCTGACCTCTCCGTTCAGTTCTGACGGTCTAAGGACAGAAGACAGAAGGCGGCCTGGCAAGCTAGTTTCTGAAATGACCGAAGTGCTTTCTCAGGGACAGGGAGGCTCGGGGAGCACACGCACTTACCCCTCAGTTATAATCAGGGTCCTGGCCAGAAGTCGCCCACAGAGAGGGGCTGTGTTAGGGAACGTTATATGACTGTGAGTCTGGCCCTCTGTGGTGGCTTATATGTGCCTGGGATGCTGGAAGCTATGCAGCTGGTATTTCCATTCCCAGCAGGGTTCCCCACGGTGGACGGGTTTCAGGGAGCCTCCACACAGAGAAAGACCAGGAAGGAAGGCCTGGTGATCTACGTCCAGAAATGAGCCAACGAGAACCTTATGGATCCCAACAGAGTGGCATCCAGTGGACGCTAGAAGATGAGCCCCCAAGACTGGTCGACTCAAAAGGCATAGTGACCACAGCAGTGCACTCATGACCCTGGAGGGGGCAGGACTGGGGACGCGTCATTCCGTCACACGTGTGCCATGAGTCGGAGCCAACTCAACAGCAGCTAACACCCACCAGAAAGCGTCGCACCTTCCAGGGAGGAGGAAGGGGAAGTCTGAATGTGAGCTAGACCATAGAAAATGATGGCAAGAAAAGCCCGGGGAAGACGGACACTCGAGGATGGGGTTGATGGCCACGCGCAGGAGCGTCCCGAGAGCACGCGTCTCACCATGGCTAAGGGCACGATGCCCACCAGGTCCTTCTGACTGACGAATATCTCAGACATGGCGATGTCTGTGGTCCCTCTCCGCGGGTACTCCACCTGCCACGTGATAGGCTGCGTCCCCGAGAGGCTGCTGAAGCTGGCAATCTCAAAGTTCATCTGCACGACCTCGCTGAACAGGCCGCTGCTTCTGGAAAGAGAAAGGGACAGCTTCAGGCTGACTCATTCAGCGCAAGGACCCTCCGCCTCCCCCCGGCCCAGAAGGACGAAGGGGCCCCTTGCAGAGCTTCCGGGCCTGACGCCTCGTTCATGCTCAGGGGCGTTAGGGACGGCTGCCCAGCACCGGGAGCCCTGCTGGTGCAAATGGTGGACGTGCTCGGCGGCTCACCCAAAGGTTTCAGTCCATTCCGAGTTGCCTGGGAAGAAAGGCCTGGTGATCTGCTTCCCCCAAAAAAAGTATGGGGCACAGCTGACCCCCGTGGGGTCACTGCAGGTCAGAGCACCTGGCGGGCCCGAGGCAGCTGTGAGACGTGCCACCGAGGCTGGTGGAGGTGCTCACTGAGAGCAAGCCTTGCTGCAGACGCTACTTCTCAGCCCTCCTTGTGGACTCGTATCTCCCTGTGGCCAGAGGCGGAGACCCAGCCTTGTCACAGTACAGGAAGCAAGGCAAGCACGGGCCTCCTGTGCTAGCTCATCTGCAGGGACTAGTCCACACGTTGTCTTCATATCAGACCTTCTGCTTCTAGGCACGGCCGGCGTCTGTCTCTCTCCCAACCCCACAGCCCTTCCTACACAACCAAACCTCTTTTCAATTTTACTATCCCTGACAGGGATGGAGCACTCAGTGAGCCAGGTTAGTAAGCACGGGCTTCCTTGTGCTGCGTTACGGATCTGCAGTGAACCCAGCTTCACGTGGGTTTCACACTAGAGATTAGTGAGTAAGCACCAGTCACCGCACGCTTACCTGGCTTACTGGGTGCTCTGCCCTGACCAGCGCGGCAGACAGTGTCTGCGGTTCCGTGTGGCTGCACGCTCGCAGCATCCCTGAGCTCATCAACCTCAGCTACACCACCGCTGGAGGGGACCCTGAGCCCCGCACCAGCCGCTGGGGGCATGTGATGGCGCTGAACTCATAAAAGGGGGGGATGCCAACACTGAAGTGACTTCCAACAACGTCCGAGGACCACGACTCACCAATCAATTGTGCAGAGTTACTGGCAGTGACTCTTGAAATAAATTTTCAAAATTGGCCTTCCATCCCCCCCCTCCAAAAAGAGCTTACTGAGAAGCCAATCGGTTCCCCCAATAGTCACAGAGAGGCTTGAACCGCTAGAAGCCCCATTTCCCAAACCTCTTGGCTGCTGAACTGGATGTGGGAGGAAAAGGGAGGCGGGGTGTGTTACAAAGACCAAGGGGCTTCACCTCCCCTCTGTGGGGTGTAAGGGATTTGAGCTCCAACGTCGCCAGCCAGTGCTGACAGCTTAGTG